CCTGGAACCTGGCCCCTCCTTGACCACTGAGCGCGGCCCCTCTGGGTCGCACTCCAAGCGAAGGAGGGGGTTTCAAGCTTTTTCCGAGCCCTTCTCCCAGGACCCCTCAAAGGAACCCAGGTGTCCTCCAGGGAAGCCCTGGGGGGCGGAAGCTCGCCCCCCCTTCCTGCCCGTGACTTTCCCTGGCCATAAACATTTCTGCAGCTCAAGCGCCTCCATCGAAGGCCCAGTGTTAATTTGTTAAATCCACATCAAGGTCCCAAGGACCCTTTGTTTATTTTTGTGATCCTGTTGGCAGAGACCACGTGGGGGTGGGGTTTGCTTATTTGGTCAGAATAAATGCTAATTAATAAAAATCATTTATTTGGGTTGGAGCTCTCCGCAGCCCCGGGGTCAGGCGCAAACTGACTATTTGCAGCAAAAACAAACAGAGAGTGTCTCTCGACAGCTTGAGAAAGGCAGCAACAGAGGGGCTGAGTTTATTTGTCTTACGAAGAATTTGCAGTTAATTCCCTCCAGACTATTTAGACCCTTAAAATACACGGAATAAGGAAAACTGGGTGCGGGGAGTGCGCCATCATTTGGTCAGAGCAGAGCGTGGCCCACAGTCGGCCCAAGAAACAGTGTGAGTGGAGTAACAATGGCAGAGGCCCGCACAGTCTTCTCGCTGTCATAGGACAGGGCCGATGTGACTTGGGTTAAGGGAGAGAGCACAGGCTTCCCCCTCCTGAGAGTGCTTGCCTTGTCACTCCTCACCCCTAGCCCCGTCCTGTCCTGTCCCACCCGGCACAACAGCATGGGGACTGCCCTGGGGACCGAGGCAGGGGTCTCCGCTTTGTTCTGAAAGTCGGGAAAAGCAAAAGGCTTATAGAACAGAAGGGAATCGGGGCTCAGCCCCGCCAGGACAGGGGAGGCCGCCAACCCCCCATGTGGGAAAAGCGGGAGAAGGCAGAGGCTGAGGGCAGAGGCCCGGAGGCCTGAGGCTCAGAGGGGATTTGTTTATTTTCAAAATGCTGCAGCCCAAGCTGGAGTCCCCTGGGGCATCCCCACGCCCACCAGGAGGTGGCTCAGGAACTCCTGGTAACAAGTATCCGGCCCATTCATCCCCTGGAGGCAGACGCACCAGGGCCCTCTGGCTGGGGCCAAGCCGTGGGCTGGACTGCTGGGCCTCCGTCCTCACGGCCTCCACTCTGCCTCCCCCCTCTGCGGGAGCTGCACCCAGTCCTCCACCAGGGGCCTGGGCTCGAGGAACGCCCTGTCCTGGGGTCCCACGGAGCACAGCTCTGAGGGCACGCGGGGACATCAGGCAGGGACCAAGCCTGCAGCAGCCAGCTCAGGCAAGCTCCTGGCGGTGACGAGCCACTGTCCCCGAAGCTCCTGCAGTGGGGGCTTCCTGTGGATGGGGCTGCACAGGGCTGGCGCCTCTGCTGGGCATTTCTGCACCCAGGAGATGATGTCACCTTGACCTCGGGCTCTGAGAGCTGAGATCGTGGGGAGACAGACCCCGGCGCCTGGGAGCAGGGTGGCGGGAGCAGAGACCCTGCAGAGATGGGCTCCTTGCAGCGGCCGTGGATCCAACCCGCGGGTGCCCTCGGTGAGGCTCTCGGGATTGTTTCCCTGGGGTGCAAGGCTCACAGGGCAGGTGTGGGGAGACATGGGTGGGAGATGTGGAGCGGGGCACAGGCCACTTTTGGGCAGGCACCTCCCCTCACAGCTGTCCTTGGGGACCGCAGGGAGCTGGCTTGAGACCTACTGGGGACCCCAGCAGGGTAGGGGGCTCTGTGCTGGTCAGGGGGCAGCAAAAGCCACCCTTTGCGTGAGGGCGTTGGCTCCAAGTGGCCGCCCCTTCACTGCAGGGTGGCACTGCTTGCCCCAGCAGCCACTCGGAGACGCCGGGGCTGAGGATGGTTTTCCTTTAAACACCCCCAGTTTTGGGTTGCTCAGAAACTTCCCGAAAAAGTCTCCTTTTTTGGCTGAAATGCCTCCTGTGCTGGGCGTGTGCCCAAGCAGCACTGCCCCAAGGAGGGCGGAAGTCAGCTCCGGGTGGCTGGCGTTCCGGAAGCTTCCATCACTGCCTTCGCCCTTGGACTCGCGGGTTTTCAGCGGCGGCCGAGCTGCGGGGTGTAGGGTTTCCGTCCAGCGGTGGTGCAGAGACTCGCGGGCACCGGACTTTCTCGTCCGTCTTCGCCTCCCCTTTGAGGCTAGGGGTGAGGAGTGACAAGGCAGGCAGGCTCAGGGGACAAGGCCAGCTCACGCGGGCCCCTCGGTGCTCCCTCTCCCCGCCTCTGCTTGTGCAAACAAGCGCCTGTCACCCCCCACCCAGGGCCTCTCAGCCTGGGCGCCATAGGCATTTTGAAGTAGATAATCCCTTGAAGTGGGAGCCTGTCCTGTGTTGCAGGGTATTTAGGAACAGATGAGGTGCCAAGTGGGATCCATCGCCAGGCCTGGAATGTTCTAGAAGCTCAGTGAACCACTGCACAAAAGTCCAGCCTTGTGCAAAGAACATAGCCTGTTCCCCCCACCCCCTTCTACCTGCTAGGCAAGCCTCTGCTCTGAGCTGTCCCCAGCCCCGCATGATGTTCTTTGATGGAGGAAAGTGTCACCAGGGAAACAGAAAATACAAGGTACGGCTGAACTGCGGTCAGAACAGGCCCCGCCCCACGGGTCAGAGCAGATGAGCACAGGCCGTGGGGGACTTGGCCACATCCAGCGTTTACTCACTGGCCCAGAAATTCCACGCCTAGGAACCTGTCCCAAATATGCACTGGCAGAAATAGAAGAGGCTGTTTGGACAAGGCTATTTCTTGCGGCATTCCTTAAGTTTCAAAATGCTGGAAACACGCCAAGTGCCCGTCAGGAGGGCTCTGGCTGAATAAGGCACAGTGCAGCCGCACACAGAGGAGAGGACGGAAGGGCTTCTAAGCCCGGGAAGAAAGGATGCAGGGTGACTCGTTAGCTGGGGATGAACAGTGCCTGCCTGTTTTCTATTATCAGAAAGACAGAGAAGCCGGGCATGGTGATGCGCACACCTGTGATTCCAGCAGCTCGGAGGCTGAGGCAGGAGGATTGTGAGCCTCAGCAACTTAGCAAGGCCCTAAGCACCTTAGCGAGACCCTGTCTCAAAATAAAAAAGAAGAGCTAAGGAAGGATGTGGCTCACTGGTTCAGCGCCCCTGGGTTCAATCCCCAGGATCAAAAAAAAAAAAGAAAAAGAAAACAGTACACATATTTTACTATCCTTGGAAAAAGCAATCCAGGAAATGCAGCAAAGACTGATTAAAGAAATGATTCCTACAGGCGGGGAGAGGGGACAAGAGGGAAAATACATTTTGGGAAAATGATTTTTTTGCTGTGCTGAGATGGAAAGGTGTCCAGAGTGCTGTTGGACAAGGACAGACGCGGCAGAGCGCCAGCGAGCCCGCCGGATCTGTACCTGTCAGGTTTTAACATTTCTGTCATCTGCCAAACGGTGGGGCGGTGACGGGGACAGGGGAGCACTTTGCACCACTCCCCCCAACCCCTGTGCTGGTTGACTCTTACCGGGACACGCAGTGATATTACTTTGCTATTAAAATACACATTTTAAATGAGAAAATCGGACGTAGGAGGAATTGTGCCGAACTGCGAGGCGTTGGCCCAGGCGCAGGGTGAGCGAGCAGATGGACAGGGCTCTGTGGGGTGCGGGCGATCAGGGGGGCTCCCTGGAGGAAGGGACGGTCAGCTGGGTCTGGGGGGACTTCTCTCCAGGATAAAATTTAAATGTGGAAAGAGTCACTGAACATCCCCTCCCTCGGAGAGGACAAAGTGGCTGACCTTGTGCTTTCCCAGGGCTGTGCAGAATCCCCCCTACAGAGCTGCTCAATCTGCACCAAGGCTGAGCCGGGTCAGCCAGCTCCTTGCTGGGATTCACAGGCTGTCTCTGCTGGCCCTCTTGTGCCTTGCCTGGGCATCCTCCCCCATGCCGGTCTGTAGGCTCTTGCGCATCCTTCAATCCAGTTCAAGAACATCTCTCACTGGGTGTAATGGTGCACACCTGTGATCCCAGCAACTAGGGAGGCTGAGGCAGGAGGATCCCAAGTTGAGGCCAGCCTCTGCAACTCAATAAGACCCTGTCCGTGGTAAAGTGCCTCTGGGTTCAGTCCCAGTACTGGAAAACAAAAGAAAGACACCCTCCAAGGCCCTCCCCTGACCCCTCCTCAGGGCCTCCCAGGGCTGTGCATGCTCACCCCTGGCACTGTGTGTCTGGATCCCAGCCGATGAGCCAATGACGCCAATCGCCAGTACCCCCCGACACAAGGTGGGGCTCAGCACCCCCAAGGCTGCTCCCACAGCTGGTTTGGTTTGGGGAGCAGGATGAGGATCCTGGTGCCAGACTCCAGGGTTCAAATCCGTCCCCTACCAGTGACTTCAGGGGGCCCTTGAACTTGGGCCAGAGACCTCAGCCTCCACATGTTCCCTCCCCCTCTGCAAATCACAAGTGATGAGGCCCACAGCACCCGCCTCAGGTTCCTGTGGACATCCATGACCTGGGGGCTAGTGACCACATGCCCCGGGTCCTCACCACCTTGGCCCCTGCAGCTCTTTACCATTTATTTATTATTATTATTATTATTATTATTATTATTATTATTCAATGACAGATGTGGAGGGAGAGCTTACTGTGCCCCAGAGCTGGGCCAGGCACTGGGGTCAATCAGGTGTCTCCTGGGCCCTGCTTGACCAGGTCACTTGTCCCTGATGGGCTCTTGCTGTGGCCCCAATTAGTTTGCTCAGACTGGGCTCCGCAGGCAGGGCCTGGCTGCTGCTGGTCACCATTACACCGGGGCCTGCCACTTGGTAGGTGCTCAGGAAATGCAGCTGAAGAATGGACAGATGGGTGGACGGAAGCGCAGGAAACAGGGAGAAGGTTGGAGGCTGTCCCAGCCCCAGAGGGCGGCCAGGATGGGCAGTGCACACCGTGGGCCTCTCGCCCCTCTGCTGACCCTTTCGGCCTCTCCACAGGCGAGTGTCCCAGCCCCGGGCGAGGTGGCGCCGCCAAGCGTAAGAAGAAGCAGCGGCGGAACCGCACCACGTTCAACAGCAGCCAGCTGCAGGCGCTGGAGCGCGTGTTCGAGCGCACGCACTACCCCGACGCCTTCGTGCGCGAGGAGCTCGCCCGGCGCGTCAACCTCAGCGAGGCGCGCGTCCAGGTGAGCATGACCCCTTAGGGGGCACCAGGGAGAGCCGCCTGAAGCGCACTAAGCCACCGCTCACCCAGGGTTATGCAGTTGCCAAGGGGCGCCGGGTGTTTAAGAGCAGGAGGGCTGGAGTTCAAATCCAAACCTTGCTACTTAACTAGCTGTGTGATCTTAGGCAAGTTATTTACCCTCTCTGTGCTTTCATTCCTCCATGCAAAATAAACACACGGGTCTATTTTGTAGGGGTCTATGACAGTTGAGGGAGTTAATATTTTTGTAAAGTGCTCAGAACAGTGCCTGACAAGGACTTTAATAAGTAAAAGCCACTTGAAGTTTGCAGCTTTACCTGCACCAGCTGAGCTGGGCGTTCAGGTGCACCCCCTCTCCTTCAGCTTCGGGCTCAGCTCAGCCTCCTCACTCACCCACCCAGCGGGTGCCTCTTGTCGTCCCTATTTCCAGAGGTGGAAGCAGGCGGCAGGGCGGGCACACACCCAGGTCCACGACCCCAGCCCCTCCGGCTGCCCTGCTGCCACTCACCGCACCTCCCGCCCCAGGTCTGGTTCCAGAACCGCCGCGCCAAGTTCCGCCGGAACGAGCGGGCCATGCTGGCCACGCGCTCCGCCTCGCTGCTCAAGTCCTACGGCCAGGAGACGGCCGTCGAGCAGCCGGTGGCCCCACGGCCCACCACCCTGAGCGCCGATTACCTCTCCTGGCCGGCGTCGTCCCCTTACAGGTGAGATGGGGCCCTTGGGGCTGGACGGGGGCTGCGGGGCTCCCATGGGGCACTTAGGGCCCAGACCCCCTTGGGGACCTGAGGGCTTGGCCCCACCAAGTGGCCTGCCTGTGCGCGTGTGTGCCCTCGTGAGCGTGCGTGTGGCTGTTAAGAGAATGCACACACCTGGGTGTGAGGCGCGGGCGAGAGCCCAGCCTGGGTGTCAGGGGCGTGTGCGTCTACGTGCCCACCGCGGGTCCAGGAAGAGGGGATGCCAGGTCTCCAGCACGCTGTGTCCACTCTCCAGGTGAGAAGTTGAGGCTGGGAGAACTGAAGGAATGGCCTTCCTGTCCCATGGTCCTGGCTGGGCCCAGAGTCAAGTTCTAGGATAGTTTTTTTTTTTTTTTTCCCTTCAAATTAAAAGGGGTCTGCAGTGAACTGGCAGAAAGAGAGAGAAGCTGGGGCCAGGCCCCGGGGCGCAGGCTGGCAGGGGCACCACTGGCCGTGGTCTGGGTGAGCAGCCCTGCTGCGGTGGCCTGGGAGACAGTGGCTGGGCTTGCGAGACCCCATCCACACCGCTCTCCCTCACCTGGGCCTGAGGGACCACCAAGGGCGCCCTGTGACACAGGCCCCACGGGGCCAGGCCCAGAGCTGGCTTAGGGACAGAGGTGCCCCGGGGACTGTTCTTGGGAGGGTCAGCAAGGAACGTCCACAAATAAAAGGCTCTTTAGACCCAGCGTCCTCCCAGGTGTTTCTGACCCCTGCCTCCTTCCCAAGTCCTGCAGCCCAGCCCTGCGCCCCAGGCACAGGCCCCGGCAGAGCAGGCTGGGGGACAAGGTGACCCGAGGCAGCAGGCCAGCTTCACTGACCCCTGTGTTTCCTGTCCCCCTAGCTCGGTGCCACCCTACAGCCCTGGGGGCTCAGGCCCCACCACCCCAGGGGTCAACATGGCCAACAGCATAGCCAGCCTCCGCCTCAAGGCCAAGGAGTTCAGCCTGCACCACAGCCAGGTGCCCACTGTGAACTGACAGGCAGGGACCCAGCGGCCCTGGCCCGACACAGGAAAGAGGACAGCTGGACAGGAAGTGGCCCTCCTGTCCCTGTGCCCAGGGCTGGCCAGCGCTCCTACCCACATCTCCAGCCTGGACTCCTGAGCCCAGAAGGCCCCGGGGCACCCAGAGTGCGGCTCGGCGCGTCTGTCGGCAGCGGCTGGAGACTGCCACCCTGGCCCGCAACGGGCTGGGCTGGACAGCGGGACGGGAGCCCGCCAAGGACCTCGATTACTTTGTGTATTAAAACCAAAAGGCTTTGTCTTTAAGAAATAAAACCATTTTTTTTTAAGCTCCAAAAGGTCGTGGGAGGGTGGATAAGGGGATCTGGGACCCTTCTCTGGCCTGCAGCAGTCACAGGGCCACCCTGGGCCTGGCTCAGACCAGCCGTCTCCGAGGCACACTCACACAGTCCCTTGGAACGTCGTCCACAGTCACCCTGCAGGGCCCACGGCTGGGGGCTGGGGTAGGGGACAGAAATCTGCCCTGGGCTTCATCTCCCGTTCTGAACCCTAAGGGACCCTTGCTGTGTGACGGGGCGGGGGCACCTCCACTCTATGCTGGGACAGGATAGACAGCCACTGATTTCTGAGTGGCTGGATGGAGTGCGGGCGATGCTGGATTAGGTTCCCCTCTTCCTGGGACACCGAGGCATGGGACAGCTGTCCCCCCCAAACCCATTCACAAACAATAACTGGAGGTGGCAGAGGACACACGTGCCACCAGTGACACTGCTTAGGAGGGACCTGCATAATCTGGGTGGCCAGAGTGGACGGAGGCTGCCCCACCTCCTGCCGGCTCTTCTGGGTGCTCACCCTCCAGGGGAGGTGCAGACCCCAGCCCAGCCCAGGGGCACTGGACGATCTGCACCCGGGAGCCTCAGGTTCAGACCCCAGCCCTGGGGTGGGGACACAGCCCGTGATACCTGGATGGGGGGAACACGATGAGCAGATTTGCCATATCTACCCAAAAGTGCTAGCCGTGGGCCCCAACTTCTAGATGGCCTCAAGCAGGCAAAGCCTCGATGCTATTGCAGAACATGTCGGCCGTCTCCCCTCAGCCGACACCCCACACACCTTTGTTTTGGTGCTAGGGACAGAACCCAGGGCCCCGCGTGTGCTCAGTAAGTGCTCTGCCACCGAGCTATGCCTCCAGCCCTGAAGTCCTCGATTCTGTTTGAGACGTCTGTAGCCACACTGAGGGACCTGGGGACCTCCCATCCCTGCGGCCCCGACACACCCTTCATTTGCTCCCCATACTCCATCTGCAGTTGGGCCATGGGGACCTGGCTCCGGTGGCTTGAGCGTGGCCCCTTCAGAGGAGCAGGGTCAGTGGGCAGCTGTGGCAGGAGGCTCCTCGGAGGCAGGAGAGCCTGGGCTCCAGGACACCTGGCGAGGCCCAGAGCTCGATGGCGACGCCTCCCGTCCTCCTGCCTCTCCGCCCCTCCTCACACCTTGAAGCTCCGTGAAGAGTGGGGCTGGGGCTACTGGCCAGAGATGGGCTCCCACAGGTGGGGCCTGAAAGGTGGGTCCCAGGAGCGCCAGCCTTGGGGAGGGTCAGGGCCGGTTCCAGGGCAGCCCAGGGCCACTGGACCGCGGAGACATCCACCCCGCACCCTCCCCGGTGCTGCGGGAAACAAGCTTGCCTTGCCTGGAGGACACGGAGGACAGAGCCTCACACCCTGCTGAGCTAGGTGGCAGTCACTGCAGGTCCTGGGCACCCTCCCCGCGTCCCTTCCCATAAGGCCAAGGGCCCCAGGCCCCGTCCAGGTGGGCGGAACCCACACTCTGTCTGCCTGCCTTTGCCTGTTGGCCAGGTGAGGCTGGGAGGGGACATTGTGTGTGTCCACTTTTATGTGTTATGTGAACTCAGGAGGGAGGGGGAGGGTCACAGAAGTGAGGGTCACAGAGACAAAACTCTTGCAGAAACACAAACCAGAGAAACCAAGGCCAGAGTTTCTGGCTCCGTGACCTTGAGCCACGTACTGTTCCAGGACCTGGTTCCCTCCTGTGAAGTGGATGATCTCAGAGGCCACCGCCCAGGGTTGTGGGCCCCCGACCTGGGCCATCTGTGGGCACAGCAGTTCCTTACAGTGGAGGAGGACAGAATGAGGGGTGGGGTTGAAAGGGGTCAAAATCTCCTGCCCTGGCATGAAAAGGCACTCTCCCTGACCAGGAAACCCTGCGCCCGGCCCAGGGCTCCCCCAGGTTCCCTCTGTCCCACCCCACTCCTGGGGAACCCAACAGAGGGACTAAAACCAGACCGGTGCCTCTGGCTCCTGCGCTCCTGGTGTCCACCACTGGAGGGCGCTGCGGGGCCGCAAAGCGGGGCTGGCCGCAGGCTCCTTCAGGGCCGGGGTAGGAGCCCCACAGCATTTTGGAAACGTTGCAACAGCCATGTAAATGTTCGCCCAGTCATTCCTCCTCTGAGCCCGCATTGAGCTGTAACCCAAAGCAGGGAAAAGCAACGCGCACAGGGCGTTTTCCAACTACTTATAAGTGCGAGGTAAAAAATCTGGGAAGCCACAAACCAAACATAAATGGCTTAAATTACATGGTGTTCACAGTCCACTCATCTGCACATTATTATAATGACTTCATAGAAAAATAAAGCTATCCAAAATAATGCAGGTCACTGAGCTTTTTTTCTTTTTCTCTTCTTTTTCCGTTGATCTTGGTCTCCCGAGTTGCTGGGATCATAGGCAAACACCCCAGCCTCTGAGGGTGGTCCCCCTTTTAAGCTGCAAGTGCTGGAAAGAGTGTGTTGGAGAACCTCGGAATTCTTAGTTCACATCTTGGAAGGGGATTGGGTGGAAGTTAGAATACGAGGTGAGGAATGGGCACCTCAAGGTCAGAAAGGGGCCAGGGAAAGACTGTGTGGTGGGCAAAGTGCTAAGAAGGTCCCGTGTTCCGCCCCCAGTCACCCCATCTTAGGATCCCTGTCCTGGAGTATGAGTGGAGACCAAGGCTTGCTTCCACCTAACAGAGGGTGGCAAGGGGAAGGGACCTTTCAGGTGTGATTAGGCTCCATCATCAGTCGCCTTTGACTTAATCAAAAGTGAAATTGCCCTGGGTGGGCCTGTACTAATCAGGTGAGTCCTTTAGTAGATGAGTGGGTCCCTCCTGAAAGAGCTAGGGCAGATACACCCTCCTGCTGACCTTGAAGAAGCAAGCAGCCATGCATGATCTCAGTTAGGAGCCCAGGGCCTCACTCTCACCACCACAAGGAACCCAATCTGGCGACAATACAAATGCACTGGAGACCTTAGATGGAACCTCAGGTGGGTGAGGCTCCGAGGGCACCTTGAGACCCTGAGCAGAAAGACCCAGCTGAGCCCAGTCTCCTGGCTGAGACGCTGGGAGATCCCACGTGTTGTTTACACTGATAAGTTTGTGACTCAGCAGTGGGAAGTGGTCCTGAGCAGGGATGGGCCTGTAAGCCCCATCAAGGTCACAGCCAGAAACTCCGCCTTGGATTCTCTGGTTTGGGTGTTTGCAGGAGTTGTCTCTGGGACCTCCCCTCTGAGGCCCTCCCCGCCCTCCTTTACTTCATATAACACATAAAAGCCGACACACACAGGGCGCCCTCCGCCTGCCTCGGGAGAGACCAGCCCCCTGTCCCCCTGCAGACGGTCCGGCTGCCCTAGATCTCAGCTTGACTGTGTCGCCCCCCTGCCTAGAGCCTGCCTTGGCTCCCCAGGTCACAATCCTGCTCCTCCCACCCCAGCATCGCTGCCAGTCAGCCCTGGCGACTCAGCACCTCTGCCCATCCACTGTGCCCGCTCCTCTGGGGCCTGACCAGCAATGTCCTCCCACCAACCCTCTCCAGCAAGAAGCCCTCCCTGTGAGCGCTCCAGGGTCATGGTGACTTAAAACACCCAGGTCAATTCTAGATGTCAGCAGATCTAACTTTAATGTCATTATTTTCTATTTGGAAAATAGAAAGAAATGCCTCCTAGTTCTTTGCATTGGATGTCCACACTTGAAATTCCCTGCTGGGAAGGCACGGTGGCCACACCTGTGATCCCAACAGCTCAGGAGGCTGAGGAAGGAGGATGGAGAGTTCAAAGCCAGCCTCAGCCAGAGTGAGGTGCTAAGCAACTCATTGAGCCCCCGTCTCTACATAATACAAAATAGGGCTAGGGGGGAAAAGAGGGGGCTGGGGATGTGGCTCAGTGGTCCAAGTGCCCATGAGTTGAAGCCCCAGGACTCCCCCAGAATTAAAGTCCCTTCACCGAGCAGACTTAGCCCCCACACACACATCTAGGGGCAGTTGCCACCAGGAAGCGGACCCTCCCCAGCAGGGTGAGGACCCTCCCCTAGGCTCCCACCCCAATCAGGGTGCTCAGCACTTGGTGCTGTCTGTTCTGCCCCCCACCCACTGGAGTGGGACAGGGCTGCCCATGTGAGATGAATGAGGGGGTGCCTGGGGGGCTGCGAGGCCACCTTGTGTGACAGATGCCCCTGCTCCCAGCACATGGCAGGCTCTGAGGAGGGCTCCGGCCCCCACAGCCAGCAGGGAAAACCAACATACAAATGCCCAGTGGCACCTGGACTGTCCCTGCCAGGGCTGTGCCTGCCCCCCCCCAGCACATCCTGGCTCAGGGAGATTGGCCAGGTCACCTCTCCACGTCCTCACCTAAAAGGCAGAAATGTCCTCCTGGAATTGTTTTAAGGAGGAGGCGAGTGGGCGGAGGGCCGTGTCCAGCCTAGACCCGGGCCTTCTCTCCAGATGCGGCCCCGCAGCTCAGGAGCAGAGGCTCCATCTCACCACCAGGGGTCAGTGTTGCCCAGGCCCAGCTCCACGGCACCAGGACCAGCCTGTCTTCTGTGGAGGCCAGGGTCCCCCAGCCAGGGAGCCACCCGCAGCCAGGCAGCGCGGCAGGACAGGGAGAGCGCAGCGCCACAGCCTAGAGGTTCAGAACCTGGGTAGAGCAGACCCGGTCCCTCAAGGTATCTGCCTCCCGGGATCCTCCGTGTCCTGCAGCTAATGACATAGGGCCATGAGGTGGCAGGTGACCTGGTCAGGGCAGAGTGAGGATTCCTGAACCCCAGACCAAGCGCCACCTCACCTGCCCTGGGCAGGGAGGAAGGACGGTCGCTGGCTTGGAGTGGCCCACTTGCTGTGTGACCCAGTCAGGAGGTCTCCGTGCCAGAGATCATGTCCTGCCAGATTGGCCCCGGACACCCAGCAAGCTGCAGTACCAGGCCAGAGGGACAGCGGCAGACGCTAGGAACAGCCAACAGGAAAGGGCAAGAGGCGGTGGCCACAGGTTCGGACAGTACTGTTTAATGATCAAAAACCACCACACAACCAAGACAGAAACCTAGGACACACACACACACACACACACACGGATCCCCACAGGGTTGGAGGCTCACAGTGGAAGGACACCTGGCCGCCCCAGCCCAATCTCTGGAGGGGACGGCTCCTCCCAGGCCTGGCCACCCTGGGACCCTCTTGGCAGCTGTTGTAACACACAGAGGGTGGGTCTTGCTCCAGACCAGCTGGGCAGGGGCTCTGGGATGGCTCCACACTGCAGCCCTGGACTGGACGATGGCAGGTGCAGGCACCCTGAAGGGTGTCCCCTCTCGTCGCTCGGGGAGGGGGCAGGAGCGGGTCACTGCTGTTGCTGAACAGGATTTTCTACCAACCCTGCCATGGGCCACTTCACCCAGGAGCCCACAAGGCTGCACCAGACACACTCACACGCAGGGCTCACAGGCCACCAGCTCAGGGGTCCACACCCCCAGCAGGGGCCGTGGGAGCCAGGACCCGGAGCCCATCACCATCTGGAAGGGACACCAGGTCCCCAGGGACAGTCACAGCGGCTCTTGCCCATGGTCTGGTGGCCGAGGAGGACTCAGCTGCTGGTCACAGGTGGCGGGCTGCTTCCCAGAGGATCTGCAGGGCCATGGAGACGCAGGGCAGCTGGGCCAGGGTGTAGGACACGGAGCGGATGGGTGCCCGCAGCTGGCCCAGGTAGGCCCAGGTGTGCACCAGGCGGCCGAGGAGGAAGACGAGGAAGTGTGCCCAGGCCACCACAGGGTGCGGCCCTAGGAAGGAGTAGACCAGGCCCAGGAAGAGGAAGGGGTAGATGGTCTCCATGTCGTTCCGGTGCGCTCTGGGGAGGAAAGGGGGGTGGTCAGCCGGGCGTCAGCGCGGGGGACACTGTCTTCTGAGACTGTCAGGGAGGCTGGGACTTTGAGGGGTTCCAGACACTCGGGCCACCCCAAGGCCAGGACAAGGCCGAGTGAGAGGGACAGTGGCTGCTTGCTTCTGTCCGAGACAACCAAGCCCTGTGACAGGCCAGGGGGTGGCATACCACAGCCTGGGGCTTGTGGGGACCTGGCCCCTGCCACTCGCCCATCGTCTCTCTGGCCCTTGGACACCAGGCAGGAAAAGCAGGGTAAGAGCTGGGGCTCTGGCCTCCATGGGGTCGGCCTCCCTCCCCTCCCCTCTCCACAGGAACTGAGTCAGACCCGCGCCGCCCCCTGAGTGCAGGCTCCGTCCCTGCGCCTGGCTGTCTCCTGCTCTGAAATCTAAGAG